CCAGCCAAAATCCAGGTTCAGTTTTTCCCAGCCCGGATCCAGGTTCAGTTTCCCCATTCCTGGTTCCAGCCCAGATCCAGGTTCAGTTTTTCCCAGCCCAGATCCAGGTTCAGTTTTTCCCAGCCCGGATCCAGGTTCAGTTTTTCCCAGCCCAGATCCAGGTTCAGTTTCTCCCAGCCCAGATCCAGGTTCAGTTTCTCCCAGCCCAGATCCAGGTTCAGTTTCTCCCAGCCCAGATCCAGGTTCAGTTTCCCCATTCCTGGGAATTTCTCCCTGCAGGGATTGAAGCCCAGGGGAGGCTCAGGCAGACCCGGATTTCCCGGGAGTTCCTGGCAGCGCTTCCCCACCCACTGCACAATCCCTGTCCTTTTCCAGAGCCTTTTCCCAGCCCGCATTCCCGGCCCACATCCCACAGCAGCTTCCCAACCTCCCCCTGAGGGATTTGGGCAGGAGGAAGAGGAAGAAAAGAGGGGGCACCTGGAGCTGAGCCCCTTCATTCCATGAGGATTCCCAGCAGGAATCTCCCTGCTCGTTACCATCCCAGCAAAGCGCTGCCAATGAATCCCCGGACGAATCCCAAATCCTCCCAAAATCCTCATCCCTTTCCTCACCGGCACCCAGCTGCTCCCTCACAGCGGGGAAAATCTGGGAATTCCGGGCTCCCGAGCACATTTCTGGGGATAAAAAGATGGAAAAAGAGAGGGGGCACCCGGATTTGAACCGGGGACCTCTTGATCTGCAGTCAAATGCTCTGCCCCTGAGCTATACCCCCGGCTGGGCTCAGTGGCCAGGTGTGCCCAGGTGAGCTCTCCATGGCCAGGTGAGCTCTCCATGGCCAGGTGAGGCTCTCCATGGCCAGGTGAGCTCTCCATGGCCAGGTGAGGCTCTCCATGGCCAGGTGAGCTCCCTGTGGCCAGGTGAGTCTCTCCGTGGCCAGGTGAGGCTCCTCATGGCCAGGTGAGGCTCTTCAGGCCCAGGTGAGCTCCCTGTGGCCAGGTGAGTCTCTCCGTGGCCAGGTGAGGCTCCTCATGGCCAGGTGAGGCTCCCCACGCCC